ATTATGAGAATGTGGTTAGGAACATCATCTTTATACCTTGTTTGAGTAAAGAGAATTATGAATTTTCTTTTGCTGAAGATGTATGTTCTATTTATCATAATAGAATATGTGTTGGTTCTGGCTAATTAACCAATAATTTTTACACCATTACAATGTCTGGTAATGTAATTACCGATGTCAATAAGCAAAATAATAATGATATAAATGCCATAACTAATAAACGCCCTAGAGTTAGTCCAAACCAAAGTATGTATGGCATCTCCGATTAGGTCATATTGGAGAAAATATAATCAACAAGTTGAGTAATGATGGGTATATTGATCCATCAATGTTCCATACTCAGCTTGTGAGACATGTCTTCTAGGAAAATTGACCAAAGCTCCCTTTGTGAGACATAGTGCGCGAGCTGCTGACATATTGTGATTGATACATACATATGTATGTGGACCAATTAATGAAAATGCTAGAGGTGGTTATTCTTACTTCATTACCTTCATGGATGATCAGTCACGTTATGGTTATTTGTACTTAATGAAGTATCAATCTATATCTTTTGAAAAGTTCAAGGAATTCAGGGCTGAAGTTGAGATACAAACGGGAAAGTGTATTAAGGCTCTTTGATCTGATCGAGGAGGTGAATACCTTAGTACTGAATTCCTGGACTATCACAATAGACATCTCCTGGAACTCTAGAACACAATAGTGTATCTGAAAGAAGAAATCGCACTTTATTATATATGGTACGATCTATGATGAGTTACACCGATTTGCCTATATCCCTTTGGGGATATGCTCTCGAGACAGCTGCATATTTGCTTAACAGAGTGCCGTCCAAATCTGTTCCAACTACGCCCTATGAGATATGGCATAGTAGGAAACCAAGTCTTAATCATATTAAGATTTTTTACTGAACAGAGTGCCGTCCAAATCTATTCCAACTACGCCCTATGAGATATGGCATAGTACGAAACCAAGTCTTAATCATAGTAAGATTTTGAGTTATCCAGCTTTCGTCAAGAAGATGAAAATAAAAAAATTGGAGGCCAGATCTGAACAATGTCGCTTCATTGAATATCCAAAGGAGTCTTTTGGATACTATTTTTATTTTCACTTTGAACAAGAATTTCAATCAGCAGGCATTCTTCTTTTCTAGAAAATCAATTCGTCCAGAAAGGTGGTGCTGGGTAGAAAATAGTCTTACAAGAAGAGAACAATGAAGTACCAAATAATCAAGTTCAGACACCGATCTCTGATTCAGTGGGAGCTTTTGATACACAACCTCTCAGAAGGAGTGGGAGAACATCTCGTCCACCTGCTCGTTATAGACACTTGGTTGAACATATTGAACTATTATTCATTGTGAATGATGGTGATCAACCTAGTGATCCTAACACTTATGAAGAGGCGATGTCGGACATCGATTATGGTAAATGGCTAGACGACATGAAATCCAAAATGGATTCAATGTCTTCCAACGAAGTTTGGACCTTAGTTGACTTGCCTGATGGTATTGTACCAATTGATTGTAAATGGATCTTCAAGAGGAAGATGAACACTAAGGGTCAAGTTGGAACTTATAAAGCACGGTTGGTGGCGAAAGGATATCGTCAAAAAGAAGGAATCGATTATGACAAAACTTTCTCAGTTGTAGCCATGCTAAAATCCATTTGGATTATGTTGGCTATAGTTGCACACCTAGATTATGAGATATTACAAATGGATGTCAAAACGGCTTTTCTAAATGGTTTACTTGAGGAGGACATTTATATGGAACAACCACGGGGTTTTGAATCTAATTGTGAAAGTCAGAAGGTGTGTAGGCTTAAGAGATCCATTTATGGACTTAAAAAAGCCTCCAGAAGTTGGAACATCCGTTTTGATAAAGTAGTCAAATTGTTTGGCTTCATAAAAAACCCGAATGAACCTTGTGTATACAAGAAGGTCAGTGGGAGCGCAATTGGGTTTCTAGTTATGTACATCGATGATATACTTTTGATTGGGAATGATGTATATCATCGATCAAACTATTCTTGTTATATAATATAAATTCTCCATGAAAGATTTAGGAGAGGCAACCTGTATTTTAGGTATCAAGATCTATAGAGATAGATCGAGACGATAGATTGGCCTCTCATAGTCTACGTACATAGACAAAGTGTTAACATGTTTTAACATGCAATGTTCCAAAAGAGAATTATTCCCTTTTAGGCATGGAATCCGTCTTTCCAAGGAGATGTGTCCTAACACTCCTGAAGAAAGAGAGCGGATGGCGAAAGTATAATGTATGCTATGCTATGTATGAGACCTGATATTGCACATGCTGTAAGTATGACTACCAAATATCAGTCTGATCCAAGGGAAGAGCACTAGATAACAGTCAAGAATATCCTTAAGTACTTGCGAAGGACTAAAGATTTATTCTTGATATATGGAGAAGGAGAGTTTAAAGTTGAAGCTTATATTGATTCCAATTTTCAATCGGATCCTAATGATTGTAAGTCTACATCTGGGTTTGTCTTTACACTCAATGGTGGAGCAGTTAGTTGAAAGAGTTTCAAACAAAGCATAATTGCTGATTCCACCACTAAGGCATAGTATGTAACCACTTCTGAAGCAGCGAAGTAAGCCGTTTGGATGAAGAAGTTCATTTCTAAACTTGGAGTCGTTCCTTCCATTGAGCAATCGATTACATTGTTAGCTCAAGCTAAGGAACCAAGGTCTCATCAAAAGTCCAAGCACATTGAGAGACGCTTCCATCTCATTAGAGAAATTATTAGGAGAGGTGATACAGCCTTGCAGAAAATTGCCTTAGCGGAAAACATGGCAAATCCCTTCGCTAAGGCTTTACCTCAATCTTCTTTTGAAAGACACATTGACAAAATGGGTTTGAGGTACCAAACAAGCTACCTTTAGTGCAAGTGGGAGATTGTTGGATGTATACCCTAAAGTAACCATGTAATAGTTACATGTTAGGGATTTAAGTTGTACCATCAATTTCATTATTTATTTAATGGCAAGGACGTATTCAATATCGAATTATTTATATATACGAATGATTCCATAAGATTAGTTGTGACTGGACCTAATGTGTGACGGCTTCATAGTTAGACTAAATCTTTAAACTGTTCTCGGTCAATGGATATTGAGTGGATATTAATAATTCTGTTGAGACCGGTGTGTTCTTAATTTCACTATTAAGTTTTTGATACTTAAGGGAATGACGAGTCACGAATTATTGGGTATTATGATGCCCGAGTTAGAACACAGTTATTTGTACCTGACAAATTCATTGAACGTTACACGCATATAACGATTAGTAACATTGAAGCTTTTAGCATGGTCAATGTCTAATCATTCATGCTTTGGTCTTGTGTAAATAATCCTTAGACCTAAGGCACAGTGTTAACTTGGGTATTGGATGGCTATGGTTCACAGGTGCGCATATTACCGGTTCGTTGATCCGTCTTTGTACTTGATGGTCATAATTCATTCATATACGAAGTTACACATGTTGGCAAATGGAATCTGTCTCCTTGTTACATGCAAGGTACAATAATGATGTCCTATGCGATCTAATCATGACATGGTATTGAAATCCTCAGTTGGGGTTGTAACCGACAATGAACTATTCATGTCTCGTATAAATGTATGTTAATTAGGTTTGTGCATATGATCAAATTGGTGGCTTAACAAATATTCTATGAGCTTTGTTCGATCAGGACATAGTAAGATAGAGCGATTGAATTACGCTGTAGTCAAAGCCGACAGGTTCATTATGTTCTTAAAGCATTCACACTGTCTGGGTAACCATGACATATTGCTAGATGTCAATCATGGCTTGTAGGACCTGGAGGTTGATTGGGACAATCAATTCTCTTAGGAGTACTAATGTGTTAATACAAGTCTTATTACCAACTCAGTGATGAATTTAGGAATGTCGCACACCATAACTAATTCAAGATGACGTTGAACAAGAGAGATGATATTGCAAATATGTTTGCAATCATAGCAATCGATCAATCAGGCTGAAATTAAATTAAATGAGATTTAATCTTATTTTATTTTTTGGTCATGGGCGCGCGTGCATATGATGCACATGCAAACATAAAGTGGACACATATTAATGTGCCCAAAAATGGTCGTGCACTCTTATGTTTGTATATACATACATATATATATATACATACATATATATGTATATATAAATTAAAAGTGTAAACGGTCAGCAATAGTTGCTGACTTGCTGACCATGTGCATGTGCAGCCTTGCTGTTTGTGTGCAGTGTGCACCCACGCACGATCAGCAACTATTGCTGATCACACATACTACAGTGATAAGCAATAGTTGCTGAATTAGAGTGTAAGTGATTGTGCAATATGTGTGCGTGTGAGAGTTAAAAACGTTTTCACTCTTTTGGCACCGTGACTAAAATATCGAGAGTGCAGAGAATTGTCGCCATGAGATTGCTAGCACAATTTTACTGGTGATTACCTCCAAGTTTTTTTCCCACAAGACGTGCGATTGGTGGTGTGTCTGAACTAGAGGTCCGACGGTTGTGGGACTCGAATTGAAGAACATACGAACCAAATCGTTTTGGGCACACTGGACGGTTGTGGAGCTTGAACGGAAGAACATCCGAACCAAGTCGTTTTGGGCACGTTACGAGAGGTAATCCGTTTAACCCCTCATGTTGTTCCGATTTTTTATTGAAACGCACAAATAACACCTTTAGAGATACATGTATGGTTTTAATTTTCTATTACATTTATATTTAATTTTAACTATGCATGTAATGTAGAAAATCAACAGTTTACACACGTGAGCTTCCTCTATTAATCCAAACTCCAGAGCATGCTTAACCGGAAAGTTGAGAAGAAAGAAGTACACAAGCTGGGGAAAAAAGGAAAGAGAAAGTACAGGGACAAAGCAAATCTGACTCTCGGGGAAACTATACGCAAACAGGGCAAGGCGAGCGTCCTCCATCCTCCGGCTCATACGTGCTAGGCTCCAGCAAGGTCAAACAATTTCCGTTTCTTTTTGTAAAGACAGCAAGGGCCATTGTGGCTGGCTAGCTTATCGCATCCGTCAACTACTAGATGACAGTCTTCCGAAGCTACCTGAGATAGAGAAGGCAAACTCACTAATGATCTGCAGAATCTAAATTCCATGGTCCTCAACTCCTTCGACTTCAAGAGATTAGGCAAACTTACTAGGGAACGGCACTGGTTGATCCTTATACTTTCCAAGGATTCCAGTTCTTCGAGACCTTGGATCTCAACTAGCTTCGGGCAGTTCAACAGGCGCAACACTCTGAGCTTCTTCAAGCCTGACAGACAGGATAAACACTCCAGAAATACGCAGTTCGACATGATCAGTTCCCTCAGATTCTCCCATTGTCCATACCGACTGGCTGGAATATGTGGCAGCCACGATTTACGTATCTCTAAACTTGACAAATTTGTGAAGTGAGAATTGTGAAAACATAATTCATCCAATGACGTCCAGATACGCTCCTTCCCGCGCAGCGTGTCAGGATGCACCTGAGTGAGGGATTGCAGGTCAAAACAAGACAAAACTAGTCGCTCCAGACCAGGAAGTGAAGCCAACTCAGTCGGTGGTGCAACGTCATTTGTATGGACAGGTTTCAGCGTCTCCAGTCGAGAAAACCTCCCATCTGACTTCAGGTATGGTGTTCGGATATAATTGGCCTCGAATGGCTTAGAAAGAGATTCCTCAAAGTAGTCAACTACGATTAGATTGACTAAATTGGTCAGGTTTGAGAAGTTTGGGACTGTCTGTAGTGAGCGAGACTTAACATGCAGGTTAATCAAACTGGCGGGAAGCTCTGGGATTTGTATAAGCTCATGGCAACAGTCCAAATGAAGTTCCTTGAGATGAGAGAGCTGATTGATTGTTGTTGGCAAAGATCGGATGCGAGCATGAGATAAGTTCAGGACTTTCAGAAAGGACAGAGTCCCAATTCCACTAGGAACATCTCCCTCCAAATTCATGCAGTTTTTGGCATGAAATTCTTCTAGCTTCTCCATCATGCCTATAGTCGCCAGGATTTTGCTTATAGTACTATGATCTACCCTTATGACCTTCAACTTCCTCAGGTTTCCAATCGAATCAGGTAATTCTGTGACTTTTGTATAAGACAGATCCAACTCAAGCAGTGATTCCAGTCCCCCAATTGAGTCTGGAAGCTTTCTTAGCTCGTAACACCTGGACAAACACAACCTTTCAAGATCCATTAGCTCTCCAATTGAGTGTGCAAGTTTGCTAATTCCAACACTTTCCGTCTCTGGGCCTGTCAAAGACTGTAGATCACCAATCGAGTGGGGAAGATACGAACCAGCAGGTCTGAGTATTGTCCCTCTCACGATCAGCTCTTTCAAGGCCTTTAGACAACCAACTTCTTCGGGCAACTCTCTCAGAGCTTTGCACACATCAATTTCCAAGTAATTCAGGTTCACTAGCTTACCAATTGATTCATCAATTTTAACCAAGCTTTGGCAATTTCGTATAGTCAACCGTTCCAATGTCGAGAGGGCACAGAGGTCGGGCAATTTAGTTAAGCGGCTGCATTTTTCAAGTTCCAGAAATTTCACCTTAGATGAATCCTGTTGTTCACAAGAATATCAGAAAGGGAATGGGCAATTGCAGCCATGTTCGATAAAACAATAAAAGTAGAAATAGATGCTTGTGTAACTGTTCTTACCGTGATTTGGTGCCATCCAGGCCAATCATCTCTAAGTTCACTACGAGAAAGCTTGAGAACGACTAGATTGCTTGGAGAGAAATTGGTCGCATCAAAGTCTGCAGGACAACGATCCCAAGATAGCCATCTCAATTCTCTCAAAACATTCTTATAATCTCCAGTGAAGTTTACCCCTTCAACATGAAGACACCTTAGCTTTGGCAGAGCAGCAAATTCTTGACTAGTAAACGTCTGTACCTCAGGGAATTGTAACCTAAGTAATTCAACATTGCTCGTTCGCTGGTAATCAATCTAGAAAAGATAGCAAGCATCAGTGAACTTCAACATCAAACACACAAACTTGTGCACACAGAAGGCAGTGAACTCTTACTAAGACCAGAATTCTGTGACTTTTTACCAAGGAAATTGCAGTTTTACTCGTATCAATAACCTTACCAGTTCACGAAGTACACGAAGGCATTCCTCGGATTCCCACAACCTGCTTCGACTTCCTGCATTCAGATAATTCTCCTCTCGAACAATTTCCCTTCCAAGATCTCTGATCAGGCCATGCATCTGAAGAATGTTGTGATGGTCTCTCTTCAACAGAGACATATCAGTGAGAGCAGCAAGTCCACTTTCAGGGAAAAAACCACAATCTTTCCACATATATGTTGCAGTTGTGCTGTCTACGCCGTTGAAAAAGCATCCAATATCTAAGAAAATTTGCTTCTCCTCAAAGTTTAATGCCTCATAACTTATCCTTAACTTCTCTTGGACTTTCCTATCAGGTCCTTTCATTGCACGCTCCAATGTTTCTACCCATATCTTGAGGCTTTTGCCCCGGAGGAAAGAACCTAAAGCTTCAAGAGCCAAAGGATTTCCTCCGGTAGTGGTCACTATTTCACTGGAAATAGTTTCGAGATCATCTGAAGGTAGGGTTTCTCCAAAGGCATGCTTACTGAAAAGTTGAAGAGCATGGCAAGTATTCATCTCCGTCATCTGATAATACTCTTTAGGAAGAAATGGGACACTATACACTGCCAGAAGACCCACATGCCTAGTTGTGACAATAATCCTGCTTCCTGGGCCGAGCCAGTTACGGTTCCCTGTCAGTTCCATGAGCTGCTCTCTCTTGTCCACGTCGTCAAGAACAATGAGGACACTCTTGTTGCGAAATCTTTCTCGTATCATGTTGACACCGTCATCGATGTCTTGGGCATCCATGGACCTCTTCAGGATATCCGATAACAGTTGGTTCTGCAACCTTACAATGCCACCGTTTAGTGAAGTTTCTCGGATATCTGAAAGGAAGCTGCAACCATCAAACAGAGGAGATATCTCATTGAAAACCGCTTTGGCAAGAGTTGTCTTGCCGATGCCTCCCATCCCGTGCACAATAAGAAATCGTACGTCCAGGGAGCAGCAGTCCAACAACTGCATCACGTCTTTGACTCGATCATCAATTCCAACTAAATGATCGGGAAGAACCTTTTGTCTCTTCTTCAGCTTTATAGAAAGCTTTTGAACAAGATCTCTAACAAGTTTACCAAGCCTGCCATGCATCATAAATCATCATCTTAGAAGAAAGGAGGAGCAACTATATCAGCAATATATATACGAGCATATCTAGGAATCCTCTGGAACGAACATTTGAATCCTGCTTCGGCTTGGAAACACTCCCTAACAGCATCTCTCTCTCTCACTCTCTCGGGTATTCATATATCCTTCAAAGAATTTCTTGTAGTCTCTACATATTCTTAAGAGAAAAGAATAAGGGAATAGACGGTAATATAAACTATTCAACTGAAGGTGTCGCGATTCGTTAACCATCTTCCAAGTGAATTTGTCTTGTTTATAGTTAGCAAAGTGGATCGTGTTGGCTCGATACGTACTTCTGTTTTTTGAATCTCAGAACTAGCACAAAACAGCGGACTGAGACCAGCTCAAAGTTCATTTCTAACGAAGCACATTCGTCCAAAACACAGAAGAAGCTTTAAAATGTCTCTTACCAAACGCCATTCGGTATCGTTACCATCGACCGTGCTATGGAATTTCAAATTGCCAATCAAATTAGCCCTTTCTAAGCATAATTTGGATCCATATATAAATCAGTTTGGTAGAGAGAGAGAGAGAGAGAGTAAGAAAAAGGGTGTAATGGCCATTAAAATTTCTTCTTGTACTTACGGTGCGTTTCGTGCGTCCAATCCTCTGAGATGTCCGACTTCCATTAGAGTCTCCCTCCACTCTTGCACCATCCCCTCGCCGTAGCGCCCCTCGTGCTTGAGCAGGGCCTGGCCGTACGACCCCGTCCCGAGCCTGACGTCCGAAGGACTAACGCCGTAGAATATGGGCACAATTTCTTGTCCCCTGGATTCTCTACGGCGCTTCGCCATGTGTGCGAGCTCCTGGAGGCACCACGCGCTGCACGCGTAGCCTTCTGAGAAGATTGGCACGTAGATCCTCGAGTCATCGATCGCTCGCTCGAGCTCCTGTCCAATACTCCCGCCTACGGTAAGCTCTTCATCGTCTCTAAAGACGCTAATACCAGCATCGACTAAGCTTTCGTAGAGGTAATCCGCGAGCGTGTGGCGAGCGTCCGGCCCTCGGAAGCTCAAGAACACGTCATACTTGTAGCCCGACGTCGGCTTGATAGGCGGGGAAATCTTCACGGTTCGCATCCGTGTTTGGCTTCTGTTAGACGACATTGTGAACGTGGAAGAAGAAGAAAAGGAGCAGATGAAACAGGAAAGGAAGAAGAACGACGAATTTCTCCCTCTGTGCGGTACGAGGAAGAATAAAGAAGAGAAAGTTAGTCTATTCTCGTGCATGACTTCATTGCATGCATATTTATACAGAGCCAAGGGAGCGATCACTTTCGCTGCCTTTTGCTCCGAAGTCTCGTTCCGTGCGGAACGCAGCGGACGGACTGGTTCAAATCTCCAGAAGCAATCACGGTAAAATATGTGGACGCGCTTCTCTCTAGAAGCAGTGTTAGAAAATCTCGGTTCGAGTCCACTTTTTCATTTTTATTTTAGATCAAGAAAAATTATGATATTTCCCACTCTAGAAGTATTAGCTCATGTATCCTTCTCCATCATTTCCAATTGTTATTGCAGTTCTTTTTTTTTTTTATGAGCTTATCGGTCAATGAAATTAGAGGACTACATGATTCGTCGGAAAAATCCAGGACAGTTCCTCTTCTTTTCCTGTACGGTAATGCGAACACGACGCGTTCTAGAACAGGTGGGGCGAAAAGGCGATTACCTCGAAATCACCTAATGAGGGCGAAAAGTTGTCGTCGGGTGTATAGAACAAGAGGAGTGAGACGATCTGCAATTTTGTACAGTCAATCATGCGAATCCGAATGAGATATGCTGACTCAATTCACGTGGTTTTAAAGAAATGTGCAAGAAACTAGCGCGACTCAAAATTTAAGAAATTAGAAGGAAATAACATTTCACTTATAGTGAACCCGAGTCTCGATCGAGCTTAGTTTAACGGGCATCCATTTCCCAGATTTAAGGCATTTTTTGGAGACTTGTGTCAAATTCAGACTTGGCCCGTACCGGCTTGGGCCGAACCAAAACAAATCGGTGACATGGCTTAATCTTGGTGGGGTTGCAATGACGGTCTCACTAACCTTGGACTTTATTTGCAAGCTGTGACATAACTTGTGTGAAGAGACATCCTAACTGTTAGCATCTTAGTGGGATTGCGATTACGATCTCGCTAATCTCGGACCTTAGTGTCGCGGGGTGGTGCAGAGTATTTATGGTTCAAATCAAATATTTCATATCGTTGCTTATGATCAAACCTTGCGAGGTGTCATCGCAAGAAGAGAATAGCGAATTCATGAAGACATCAACCTATTTTTGTCCTCAATGAGACATTTACCACTAAATGTCCGTGTTGAGATCCATTCCTCTAGTAATGCCTTATGATCAAATTCTGCCATCTTTAAAACTATACGAAAATTATTGGTTCAGCCCCAGCCTTTTTTCCTAGTCATCATAGTTTTATTTTCCTCTGCATCCTTGACATTTTGACATTCAGTGACTTTTCAGATGGGTGCATTTATTCTAGAGAAACTGACCTTTAAGGCAACTGGTCAACATAGACCTCTTCTAAGTTTGCTTTTCCAAGAGAGTTATTGCTATTCTTATCATGACTACTACAGATAGTTAAAGGATTATTTTCCATTTGAGTGGCAGTATAACCATCTGATGTAACAGGAAGGGTTTTGCATCTTTACTGTTTGCTCTTTGCTAGATCATCAGCAGACAATTTGTTCTCGTCATCCATTAAATAAATGCTTGGGTCTAGATGTTTTCCCTCAATAATAATCTGCTTACCATCTTTCATTGCCTTCTTTAAACTCACTTTCTCTTGCAAGCATGCATTCTGACATCACTGAGACATTTTGCCAAATGGGTTGAATATTACTCCGAATGATCCTATATGCGATACTAGAGATGCTTCAGTTCAGAGTATCACAATCAGGAATAACACGAGGTCAATTTATCAAAGCGGCCTCATCCGTGATTGATTTTCACACAAACAAAACTACAGATATCGAGCTCTACTTGCGTATACAAGAGCTGAAATAGACTGCATTGCAAAGTGGGAGAGTCCAAAAGGAAGCATACCTTTATGTCGTGTTCATTGATTGCCGACAATACAAGCAAATTGAGGTTGTCCTCCACCTGCTCCGCCAAGTCGTTGTCATTGAGGGCCCTCGCGAGCTGCTCGTGGAAATCCCCCGATTCCTCCTGAGCGTCGGGCGGCCGTCGTCGAGCGTTGTGCGAGATTGATGAGTCCTCAATGTGATGGATGAGCAACTGATTTGGAACGTTTTGATGTCCTACGTTTTCATGTTTTGATTTGGGGCAAGAAGGGTTTTGATCGTATCTGCATTGAAAAGAAAAAAAAAACGTCACCATTTTGGTGTCCAGCATCCACGTCAACGCCAGTCTAGCCATGTAGAGTGGTCGTAGGACGGCCGGCATTGGTTGGGTATCCACGTAAGCACTTTCCATGGTAAATTGGACCGATGGACTCAATTAACAAAATTAAAATGTTTAGAACCGAATTGGCAACAATACAATAGATTTAGAATTTTTTCGACAATTTTCCCTCTTCAAAATAACCCACAATTATAGTTCCAATTCCAATATGCCATGAACTTTTTTGTCTAAACAAAACTCCAAACTTTAAGTCAAATTCATGTTCGTCTTAAACTTTTGTTGTCTTAAAAAAACTCCCAATTTTAGATTCAGCCTCAAATCTACTTCGAATTTTAACTTTAGTCTCGAATCTGTCCCCATTAGCTCTGTCCAAAAATTGCCATTAGTTATCCCTAATTTTCATATCAAAGAACAGTTTCGTTTCAAGATAATTTTCCATGTCATCTTGCTTATGTGGGGAGTTGTTACCAACGTGGAATTGCCACGTCAAACAACTAATGGCGATTTTTTGGACGGATGGTTAATGGAGGCAGATTAGAAACTAGATTGAAAGTTGGTGAATATTTTTAGACAAAGAAAAGTGCGACGAAAATTTAGTACTAGAGTTAAAGTCGGTGATTTTTTAAAAAGAAATTTCGAGGCAGATTTGGAACTTGACATAAAGTTTGGCATTTTTGGTTCTTTTAGACAAAAAATAAATCAAAAACAGTTGGGATTTGACCTTCTTCTTTTTTGTTGAAAGAAAATTTTTCATTTCACATGAAATAGAGGTACATAACTTTGAAATAAAGATGCAAGTCCCACAAAGCAAGTAAATCTGAAATATAAATCAACTTGGTATAACTTGCAGAGACTCACTCATTCCACAAAGACGGGTCTATCATAACATCAAAGCACAGTTAGTGGCCGATCGCCGAATCTTGCATCATCATCAGTGAAGAGCACACGCGAGATTTTCCTCTCCAGTAATTACGGCTTTGCCAAAAGGCAATACATGCCTAGGTTTGGCATCCTAGCACCATCACCGTATAAGGATGACAACAACATCAACAGGTTGAAAGAGCACGGAAAACGCTTTGTAAATCCCAAATCTATAACTAGATCAAAATAGAAGAGCACCCAAATTTAGATCTATCTATTATTCGGAAGAAAAAACCTGCAATAAATATGCCAGTTGATCACAAAATCACTTTCATATAAACCGATTGCTGAAAGCAGCAGCAAAGAAGCCTCGGAGACATGTGGAGTGCTCGACTCTGTAGAGCAAGCCCCAAAGCCGGAGCGAGCGAGCGGATCAAAGCAGATTCTTCCGAGGCGCTCGCACTTCCAACTTCTAGGCTCACTGGACAAAACTCACCACTTCCATGGAGGAAGTCAATCGCGTCATTCGTGAAATCAATGAAGAAGTCTTGAATATGATGAGATATAGAGGTAAGAAGAGGGAGAGGGGGAGGGGGATGTGCTACAGAAAGTGGGCGGTGGCTTCAAGGAAAAGAGAGAAACCCTAAGCGAGAGGGAGTCTCAAAATAACATTTTAAATTGGGATTGGCTTTAAGTTGGGGTCTTTTTAGATAAAAAAAAATTTGGTACTGAACCTGAAGTTAGAGGTTTTTTAGGAAATTAGGCCTTAAAAATTGAACAAATAAGAAACAACATCAACTGCAACATGACATGAAATACAAACAACCTCTCAATAAGATGCCAAAGCAGTACAAACATGTATAAGTTTGTTATTTATGCCATTTTAACAATTATGTGCACAATTAAAACCTAAATTGAAATTTTCTTGAAAATGGTTAGATCAAAAGTGTATGATGGTGATGGTCGAAATGCTAAATTATGTCGCAATTTTCTCCATGCTCCATGTAAGGGTGTGACTGAAAACTTCATGCAAACATGAAGAAAACTTTATCATAATTTTAGTACTTGAATATGTATATATTGTAAGCTTTATCACAATTTCAGTATGTATCCAATAACGTGATACAACACGATATGTTGATTAATTTTTTAAATATGACGAGAAAAACAATCTTAGCTATATGAATATCAAGTTTATGAAGCACCTCAAAACCATCATGGACCAGGCACTAATGAGTGACCTACCAAGTGGTCTAAACGTGAAATGGTTCAACATTTTCAAGAAATGGAATTGCCATGTATAAATAGGTTAGGTAGAACTAATTTACTGGTACTTCGGGTTTCTTTATGTGGAGATGTTATTATATGTACAATAACATGTCAAAATGTGTGAGTGTGCCGCATTGCTACAAATTACATATCAACTTAGTTTGTTTTTTTTTTTTTGGTCGGAACATATCAACTTAGTTAATGTCTACAAACATATTTAAATAGGTTTACAAGCGTCAAATAGCACAAGACAAGCTTATTTCCTTGTATTAGTCACTCAGCTCGTCTCTAACATGAACAAAATTAATAAATTCAATCCAGACATGTGTCTAGTATCATATGAATGACTAAAATTGCTACACTTACTATGATAACAAAACAGAGGAAACAAAGAAAAAGAAGTGGGGAAAACGGAGCGAGCAAAAAACTCAACTAGGGTCTCATGACACTCATCCAAGCAACAAAGGGCACGTTGGTAGTTTCTCTTCTTCGGACTGCAATTTCGGCTTGTGAAATCAATTTCCTTTAGCTTTTGTATCCACTATGCATGAGCAGCATCATCCTCATAAAAGAGATCTAATCGTAAGAACCCAACTACTAGAAGCTGGTATAGAATTACAAGCTCCAGAAATGAAAGTCATCTGCCCTCAATTAGGATAATGGTACAAATAGTTCATAAACTTTTATTCAATGTGCAATATGGTTCCTGAACTTTTACTTTGCAATATGATCTCTGAAATTTTGTTCAATGTGATCTTTAGACTTTTGAGACATATTCAATATAATCTTTCAACTATATGAAAATGTTCAATATTATCCTTTCAATAATTCAAAGACTACATTGCTTATTAGGCGAAATTCAAGGACCATATTAAACAAATTAAAAATTCAGGGGCCACATTCAAAATTGAACCAAAGTTCAGAAACCATTTATGTCATTTTTCCACACTCAATTCAATTTTTTTTTTCTTGCCATACTCTAACACTCAACTCATTCTCAGATTTTTGCTTTGCCTCTTTACAAAGAGCGTAAGAGTCCAAAATTGTACTCAATTTAATTTACTTGACCTGAAATGAGAAGATTTGAATTCTCAAAACACTCGATCCTAGTGAAGAGAGCCTAAATCATGTTGGGTGTGCAAATTCTGTCATCTCCATAGGGATTGTAAGGTCCGAATGTGATTAACAGGAATGAAAAACTAGACATCAAGGCATCTGTAATCTTGGAAGTATGGGACCTTATAAAACTTTATGATTGAGCTACCTTTTGACAATCTAATCCTATGTCCATGAAACAGGGAAAACTCGATTAAGAATTGGACAGCCACTTGGAAGTGAAACTCTGTTGGATCACAATGAAATGAATTGCGAGAAATTGCACCCACAAATCTCACTGGCACAGTACAATAGATGCTCATAGCACACGTGAATACATCTGTCTCCACCAAAGGGCCTAAACGTTGCTCTTGTTGCCGATGCTTTCAAATCCCCCTAGTTCCATAACTGTCTACACCATCCACTTACTGACAGAAAGTAACAGAGGGCCCAAGTGGAATGAATACGCGCGCATCTCGTTCCAAATATTGACTCAAGGAAGGAGTAAGGACCCTTTCTTGGCAAGGACCAATGCATTGAAGATCAAAGTATTCTTCGCATTGTTTGTCCATCATTCTCTATATTTAGCGGGCTCCATCCTCGAAAGTTGAGGACAAGCAGGACACAACCTTGACAAACAGCCTGCAATACAAAATTTATATTACTATCTTTCGCAAACAATAGATGAACCTGGACAGAAAGGCAATCAAATTGAGATTTACCTGTCGCTGCAAGTTCCGCAGTATAATATTAGTAATGAGAGGTTCTATGGTCATAAAAGATTCAACCAAAGACATCACACATCTCACCATGAAACGTCTAAATGGGTAAGCCGAGTGCAGCATTTAGAAAAGAAAAATGAAATATCGAGGATTATGAGTGCATAAGTGGACATGAGTAAGACAAAAGCTTTGCTGAAAAAAAGCATAAAAAATTCATTTGCATGAATTGTGCCTCACTCACACAAACACAAAGCTCAAACAATTGATATATCAACTTGCCACCAACAAATTTTTACCTCCGACCGACACGTGGTCTATGCATCAGGTGATCTCTGAGGCCAATGTGAGTGCTCCAAGAATGTCTGTGATGAGATTGACCATGAGAAGCTGCTCAAAGAGGAAGCAGACCAAACATTCGATTCATACCGAGACAAATAGGTGAAAGAATAAATAACAGAATGTCAGAGAGAGAGAGAGAGAGAGAGAGAGAGAGAGAGGGAGAGAGAGAGAGAGAGTAATGAGCAAAACCTGCACCACATATAGTGGAACATCGACAGAGGAAACACAGCATCGACATTTATCACAACAGCTGCAACTTTAACTGTAAGCTGGAATTGCATAAATTTTCTGCATATTTGCATATACAGATTGTCCCCACCCAACAACCTGTACGTGCAATGCATAAAAAGAAAATAGAACAACAACAATGGAAGTCTTGGAACTCATTCGCCAGTATTGTTAGCCACAGAAGGTTTTCCACCTAAGCACACATATTGTCACCAATGTTTTCCGGAGTAATGCTCATGCTTATGTTAAAGCAGCTATACGCTCCATATTGCTCCAAACTGAAATCAAGTATTGGAAAGCATATCACAAAATCTTGGTTGATAAATAATTCTCCCTTTCAACTGTTTCATGACATTTTTCATCCTTCAACGGCTGGTCAAAACTCAACTAGCGAGAATATATGCTTCTAGTGAAATGAACTGCCAGATTGAACATATCATAGGAAGCAATAGATATGTGGAGTCTAAACCAACCATCATATCAAAAGTTAGAGTCGAAGCACAGAATGACATAATTGAATAGCAAATCTTTAAAAAGCACGATCACCAAGTACTTATGCAATTAACTAGTGATTTCTTGACACACGCCGTTTATTTCCCCCGAGCATCAAGAACCAGAATATGAAACTTTAATGTGCTGCAACACTAAAAGACGTGGTTTTAAAACAAATGCAGTTCAGCACTGCATGATGAGTGTACACACAATCTCCAAGCAGAATCGTAGCTCTTTCATCTGCTGAATAGAGAGCATGTTCTACCCTTCAGTTACAAGGAAATTCATCACCTCTCCATGGTGGTGACATTTGACAATCGACAAACCTCGCACCTAGAATTTGGTTCTAATGAGAGGCACAATGTAGACTCTTCATCTTACCATATGGTATCAACAAATCAGCATGAAACTATATAGTTACAAGAAATAACCAAACAGAACCAGAGTGATGTAAGATGTAAATCCAAACTTATCAAGAAAGGGCAATGAGAAAGATAATAGCATTCAATTTGTTTGTCAAACCATTAACAGGTTCAGCTACTTTCAGAGTTCCCAATAGACTGCACTCAGTCAGAAGAGAGTGCATATTGTGGCAATAATAAGCACATTGCAGACGATGGTCATATTGTTTAGGTACTAGAGTCCATGAAAGCACCCATAACTATCTACAAACCAACAATAACCAATGACATAGCAGAGCTTAAACTACAAGGCATCTTTTCCAACCAAAAGCTTCAACAACATTAAGAGACGTGCAAAATCCCCAAAGACAAATCCCTCTACAGAAAGAAAGCAAAACATCCATGAGGTCAACACCCAAAAAGCTACAGGTTCATAGGCGCAGGCAATCAACAAGCAACTACATTAACAACAATGTCAATGCTCATTGATTTCATTCTTTGAAGTTGTTTCGGGTTCAATTTCATTATCCATTTTTCACAACATTTCCCTAATAATGTTCTATTCAAGAATTCAAATCAGCACAAATGAGGCAATGAAGTAAGAGCGTTGGTAAAGTCGAGTCCGAGGCCAACATTCAAACATCAAACATTAAAACTGAATCTGTGTTTCCCTAAAACCTGATCATACAAAGTCAAAAGCAACAAGGTAGATATCCCCGAGAGTCCAAGGACGACAATCAAACATCAACAATTAAAACTGAATCTGTGTTTCCTAAAACTTGATCTTACAAAGTTAAACCCGCTAGGGAGATAGCGCCTTCAACTTCTTCAGACGTTTGACAGCAGGTGAAATGGTCTTTATTGTCTTTCGGACCTTCTTTACAGTTCTCGCTCTCTGTCTTGCTCTTTTCCCCGCAGGAGCCATCTCCATGATGGGCCCAGGAGACAGCCCCTTCTTGAGTGCACTTCCTCTAGGAGTAGTAGATGGCGGCAACCTTAGATTTTGCGGAGGTAAGGGAGTGTGAGGCTTCCACACCAAGTTGTTCTTCATCGCAAATCTGACTCGCTTGACACTTTTGTCCCCGCTCTTTGCGGAGGGTGCACCTCCATCATCTCCTCTCTCAGCCATTTCAGATTTGAGAGATCGCTGCCCATCTCTAGTCTTCTCTCTCTTTCTCTTTTTGTGACCATCACCATTAACTGCAGCCTTTTCAGCATCCCAGTCGTTAGGAACATCTATTCTTAGACCCTCTGCAGCGGCGACCCTCTCAAATTCCATTTGGAGGTTAGACATCAAAGATTCATCGAAGATCATGTTTCCATTACTAATGAGTTCGTCCGTCGTGAACTCGGAGATCAAATAGCCAGGATTAGCATTCTCCACATCCATAGTGCTATTATCAAGATTTACATCGTTCTTATTCTTCTTCTTCTTCTTCTTATTCTTCTTAGCTTCTGCATCCACGCCACCAAGAGCCTTCTTAGCTTTCTTCAGCTTCTTTGTAATCTTAGCTCCATTTATGACATTCCCTCGTAAACCCAAATCAGCATCATCCATTTTAGTCTCACTACCAATGGGAATCAAGTCGGGCACTTCCTCGTCGTCGTCGTCATTGGCACAAACATAAGGAATGGGAATCTCAAGCTCCAAAGAAGCCAAATCCTTCTCCAACTTCAAGAACTCCTCGTGCAAGCCGAACAGCAGTTTCCTGTTCCCCTGATTGCACTCAGCTGAAGATCCCAATTCGAAGAGTTTACCCGAAAATCTCATATTCAAGGCTATGGTCCCATAAACAACCAAATCATCACCCAAATCAACCTCAACCCCCGACTTCTTCGAATCCAACAGACCCTTCCCCATCCTGAGCAACACATCAAACACATTGGACTTGATCTTACCGAGCAACACTTTATCCAACGACCTCCCCATCACATTCAAGAAGGGACCAAGCAAAACCTCCAAGGTCTCCGCTTTAACCGGTAGAAAAGGCCTGAGCTCCTCAAGATACACGGTGGCAATATGGTAATTCACCCCGTTCCCCTGGAACTTGTCATCAGCAAGCAAAGCCCTCTCCTCCAACACCCCCACCAACCTCCCCACGAGCCCCAGATCCCACGAGCACTTCCTCATGAGGGCGAAGGAGGAGCTCAAGAACCTGCGGATCAAGGCGTAGAACTTGTCGAGCCGGAGCGCGTCGATGCCGGCCCACTCGCGGCGCATGGTGAGGACGAAGGCGGAGAAGTAGTGGACGGCGAGGGGGAGATCGAGGGAGAGGAGGAGGGACGAGAGGCGGTCCGCCAGGTGGGCCTGGTAGGGGGCCTTGTCGGCGTGCCAGACGCAGTAGAAGAGGCCCTTCCAGAGCTTCCGCATGCCGTCGTCGGAGAGGCCGGGCTGCGCCGGCAGCCACGTCTTGAGGAGGACGCGGAGGGAGCGCTCGCGGGTCGACTGGCTGCAGGACGCGAGCTGCTTGATCAGCGGCGGGCCTCTCTGGGCGCCGTCCATCGCTCGAGCGCCGCGGCGGCGGCGGCGGCGGCAGCGGCGGCGGCGGCGGCGGGGGGTCGGAGCAGGTGGGCGTCGGAGGAAGCTGAGCGAGCGAGCGAGCGAGCGAAAGAGCCTCTGAGCGGAAGAGGAATTCTAGTAGAGCACGAGGGAGGGAGGGAAGAAAAACCCTAGGGTCAGTTTTGGAAATCGAAAAAAGTACGAGTTCTTCTTTATTTCCACCTATTTTTGGCTTCTAGCATTCCCTGTTATAATTACTACATCATCCCTCGTGGGGTCCCATTTTTTATTTAAAATGATTCTTTACCTTCTCTTTTCTTATTTTTCTTTTGTTTCAATTTATTAGAGACGAAAATACCCATCCTCCTATCAAATAACGTTTATTAAAGTTAAATATAGAGCTCACCCTTGATTTAAGGTTATTTTTTTGCTCAATTTTCTTCTCTTTTTTTTTTTTGGTTTTTTGTCTTTTCTTTCTCGGAACAAATTTGATGTCCCTCTTTTTCGAAAAATAGTTCATTTAGTAGATAGTTAGCTAATTATTATTTTAATGGGTTGTATATTCTCTTTTGTAATAGGCAACTATTATTTAAAAAATAACCTTAGCACAAGTAAGAGTAAAAAAGAACCATCTGCTAATTTTAGTATGCATTTCCGTTTAATTATAATTTTAATATATGTCATTACATTGTTGTCTGTGCATTTTAATTTCTCTTCTTTCATTTTATTAAGTGAATCTACTAGTCCAATTTTTAATTATTTTTCATGCCCTTATTGCATGGTGTTAAAAATACGACAAGGTTAAGTACATAAAAAATTCTAAACATCAATTATTATCATGCAAATGCAAATAAAAATGCTCCCTAAAAAATTGTTACATATAATACTATATTTGCCATGATTACGTGGCATAATTAGCTCTTGACAAGAAATTAAGACAATTGTAATGACATTGCAAGACAACCCAATCAAACCATTTTTGGTCTATACATCAGAATTTTCATAAAATAATCAATGAAAAGAAAATTATCCTCAAAATACAAATGTAATGCAATAACAACAAGTTGCATATGCAACTTAATAAAAGATATTGTCCGTTCAGCTGTTTGGCTTCTCTAAAAAAGTTTAACTCTCTTGAAAAAAAAATACCAAAATCAAACAATAATAGTTTTTAATTACATCAATAACAAAGTCATTATTAACTTAAAACATTATATATCGATGAATAATTTTCAATGTTATAGTGCAAGAAGCTCCAAATGAACTTGCTGACATTATTGATTGTTGTTCTCCATTCATAGTTTCATCATCAATAGATACAATTAAGTAATTTGTGTGGTCTTCAATATTATCCTCCATAGTGACTACACTAAAAAAAATAATATAATGAAAGATGAGTAAATTGTGCATAATGCATTCATCAACCAAAAATATTCAATCTTTGAGTAAATTATCATAAATTTGTACCAAAAATCGAAGTCGAAAAATTCACTATCATGAGGATTATATGGGAAAAAAATTAATAATTGGCGGAATAAGTTTAGAAGAAGATAAACATGAAGGTTAAAATGCAATGGGTGCGAAAGAAGTGGCTAGAGTGAAAAAGAAAATATTTGAAAGGATATTGGTAGTTTTGTCTTTTAATAAAATTGAAACAAAAGAAAACAAAGAAAAAAGGTAAGAAATAATTTAAATCAAGAGCGGGACCCATAATGGATAATGTAGTCAATTCAACGTGAAAATGGAGTATTAGGAGTCAATAAAAGAGTAGAAATCGAGCTATATAGTATTACAATTATGAGGTCATAATTAATATAATTATATTTATATTTATATGTTTGTCGATATTCCATCATGAACACTAAGACTTACAAATCAAATATCGGAACAAGAGGTGTTACGAAATTAAAGTGTGATTTTCTAAAACTTGTGTTTATATGGTTGAATTGTCTTAATAATATTAGTTCGGGGTACTAAAAAAACCTCTATCATATTTTGAAGTTGACAAAACCTTCTATTTCTCATTATTACACGGCAAAATGCAGATGTATCCTATTTTGAGTGATATAAAAGATGTTTTATTGTCATTGACGAGATCTGAAGTACAAAGTAAAAAGACTAGTAAAAACTACACAGAGCTTGATGAAGAGTGAACAATTCAAAGATAACGAGGATTTCATGGAGACTTGGAGGTATAAGGCAATTTAGAAGTCTTGATCACTCATGTACTAAGGAAGATCAAATGAAAAGCAGTAAGTTAATTACTAACGGGAACCTTTGATAAACTCACAGACTGCTGATAGAAGCAACTCTCTATATCACTTTTGAAAAATGTGCTCACGTGTTGGATAAGAATACATATATATTCCTTTGACTATTCTTCTAGTCTAAAGGAACTTGACGACTAGCCTTAGGTTTGGAACTCCGGAAAGAATATTTGAAGAATCAAATCAATTATCATTCATTTGGAGAAATGGATTTTTTACTCGCTTGGCCGACTCTATTCATGGAAATTATACCATTACTAGGAAGATTTGATTGTATGGATGACCATATCTTCGATGATTGTGTTGATTATCTTCAACAGCTAAATCGATGCTCTTGGACATTATCTAATGGCTAGTTGGGAAATTGAAGATTGTATAAGAAGATCAACGCATGCTGAAGAAGATACAACTATGGAACAAAGAAAGCTTTAAACTTTGATACATTCATACTATTGTGAGCGAGAAGTTCATTTTGCCTTTGAGAGTACTTGTCAGAGATTGTACTTTGATTTGAGGAATGTACTGAGTGTTGCAGTGGTGTTTGAATTTTGATAGGCTGTCAATCACAAGCCAGACCGCAATGAGCTAGTGTGCATTTTTTTCTATCTCTTTCACATTTGATAAAAACATGGTGTACTTGATATTGTTAGTTTATTCATGCATCTATCAAACACATTTTGCATATATTAAACTTATCTTATTCCACAAAATTTTTTAAGTTTTTATAGGCCAACCTATTCACCATGTTTAGATTGTATAATTAGTCACAACAATTGGTATCAGAAGCAAGTTGCTCGAAATAATATATTTGAAGAGTATAATAATCTTCCATTGCTAACAATTTTGGTCAAGGTGTTTTTGAAGGTCAATCAATGTCAAGGCCTCCATTTTCTTATGAAACTAATTACAATTACCAGAAATGCACGATGAGATCATATTAGCTCAGCAAATTGTGCAACATGGGACGTTGTCCAAGTTGTCATAAATGCTTCTCCGTTATCAAGAACAACTGTGGAATCCACAAATCAAAGACTCCTCTAACAATAATTACTCTAAAGAAATCGTAAGAAGGCACGCTTTTTAATTAAAGCCTTTTATGCTTTACATCGCGATTTATCTCCCTCTGAATTAACCACATTTCTTCGTTTACTACACAGCCAAGGAAATTTGGCACATACTTCAAGTCACATTAGGGATTAATAGAGTCGGAGAAACCAAAATGAAGTCCTACTTAAAAAATATGAATCCTTCATCATGAAATTGAGCGAAACAATTACTAAATTGTACACAAGGTACATCGAGATGTGAATTGCCTACCTATATAGGGAAGACATACATCAATGAAGGCAATGTGAACAAATTGCTAAGAGCTCTCCCAAAAGAATGGAATCATGTGAAGACATACATTCGCGAGATACTAAGGATAATGTCTCTATCACTCGATGAGCTAATAGGAACCCTGATGGCTCATGAAGCTAAGCATGTATATGAAGAAGATGGTATAAAATGTAAGAAGTCCATTGCATTTAAAGCCGATCCACTTGATGCCGATCCACTTGATGCAGTTGAATTAGCATCAATATGAGGAAATGACACTAATGTCAAAGAAATTAAAAAGAATCATGAGAATATGAAGAAACTTCAAAAGCAAGAAGTAAATGAAGGAAACGGAAGAAAAGAATTTCTCCAAAGAAAAAGAGGATAACAGAGGTAAGGACATTATTTGATCCTATTTCACTACATTTGTTTAGTTTTTATAAGTCAACCTATTCATAACCCCCTACCCCTTTTAGGTTGTATAATTAACCACAACACCTGGTACCTACTGTCATAATCCAAAAAGTTTAGAAGCCATGAGACGAGTGTGGACACGGGATTTAACCTTAAAGAGGGGCAACCATGAAAGTTTGGCAGAAAGCATAAGCTCATCATTGATTCAAAATCTTGTAGCAACATAAATATATATATATATATTAAATATATATGTGTGTCAATAAAAAATTAAGAGAAAAAACCACTAAAAACCCCAAACTTTGCCATCTGTGACACATTTACCCCGAACTTTTTTTTGTGACACCAAAAACCCCGGACTTTGCTTTTTGTGACACATTTACCCCAATGTATTTAGTCCATGGGCATTTTCGTCTTTTCTGCTTTTTCTTTTTTTTTTTTTTTTTTTTTCCTTTCCGGCGAGGGGGGGCCTCGCCGGATCCGGCGAGGGCGGCCCTCTCCAGATCCGGCGAGGCGGGCCTCGCCGGCGCCGGGCGAGATTCGCCTCGCTCGGGCGAGCGAGGCGGCCTCGCCGACGCCGGCGAGGTCGACCTCGCCCGAGTCGGGCGAGGCGGTCCTCGCTCGCCCAGCGAGGGCGACCTCGCCGGCGTCGGCGAGGTTCGCCCGCTCGGGTGAGCGAGGGCCGCCTCGCCCGACTCGGCGAGGTCGACCCTCGCCGGCGTCGGGCGAGGGTCGACCTCGCCCGAGTCGGGCGAGGCCTCCGCGCCGGATCTCGGCGAGCGCCGCCCTCGCTCGACGCCGGCGAGGGTCGACCTCGCAGATCGGGCGAGGGCCGCCTCGCTCGCCCGAGCGAGGCGGACCTCGCCCGACGCCGGCGAGGGTCGCCTCGCTCGGGCGAGCGAGGGCCGCCTCGCCGACTCGAGCGAGGTCGACCTCGCCCGACGCCGGCGAGGGTCGACCTCGCGCGAGATCGGGCGAGGCGGCCCTCGCCGGCTGCCGGGCGAGGTTCGCCCTCGCCCGGGCAAGCGAGGCGTCCTCACCCGACTCAGCGAGGTCGACCCT